GATCCCAGTGACCCCAGTGATCCTGTGTGTTCCCATCAGCTCCAGGGAGATCCCAGTGATCCCAGTGATCCCGTTACCTCCTCTCAGGGCTCCATGTTGGTCCCGTCTGGGCGTCGCCGCGGGGCCTGTGGGGACAGGGGAGGGGCCAGTACGGACCAATACAGACCAGTACAGACCAGTACGGACCCATATCTATCCGCCAGTACAGACCAGTACAGCAGCACACAGCCCAGTACGGCCCAGTACAGCCCAGAACAGCCCAGTATGGCTCCACACACCCCAGTATGGCCCAGTCCAGACCAGTATCCCCTGCTCATACCCCGGAGCATCCATTACCCATCCATGGTCTAATGAGGCCCAGCACGCCCCAGTATGACCCAGTATGGCCCAGTACCTTCCAGCACAGCCCAGTAAAACCCAGTATAGGCCAATGGGAGCCTGTACAGACTGCACAGCCCAGCATGGACCAGTACAAACCAGTACAGGCCATCACAGCCCAGTATGGCCAAGGATAGCCCAGTATGACCCAGTACGGCCCAGTATGACCCAGTACAGCCCAGTATGATCCAGCACAACCCAGTAACACTCAGCATGTCCCAGTGTGGCCCCGTAGAACCCGGCATGGCCCAGTATGGACGAGCAGAGGAGTTCATGGCCAAGTATGGACCAGTACAGACCAGTATGGGGCAGCACAGCCCAGTCCAGACCCAGTCCAGACCAGTATGGTCCAGCACGACCCAGTAAGACTCAGCATATCCCAGTACAGGCCAAGTACATCCCAGTATAGCCCACTACATCCCAGTACAGCCCAACAGCCCAGTGTGGCCCAGTACACCCCAGTACATCCCAGTACAGCCCAGCACGGCCCAGTGTGGCCCAGTACACACTACCACAGACACGTCACAACCCAGTACAGACCAGTATGTACCAATACAGACCAAATACAGACCCAGGACAGCCAAGCCCATTATGGCCCAGTACATCCCAATATAGCCCAGCACAGACCAGTATGGCCCAGTACATCCCAGGACAGGACAACACAGCCCAGTAAGGCCCAGTACAAGCCAATAGAGCCCCAGCACCGCCCAATATGGCCCAGTCCATCCCAGTATGGCCCAGTCCATCCCAGTCCATCCCAGTATGGCCCAGTCCATCCCAGCATAGCCCAGCATCACCCAGTCCATCCCAGTACAGCCCAGCATCACCCAGAGCCCCCCCTCCTGTGCCTCCCAATCCCGCATCCCTCTCCCCCCCCCCCCGTGCGACCCCCGGAGGTACCTGGGGGGGCTCAGCCCACGGACGTTCCCATCGCTGCTCCGGGGGGGGG